GGCTCTCCCCAGAGCACAGCAGAGGGGGAGAATCCCCTTCCTCAACCTGCTGCTCATGCTCTGGGGATGCAGCCCGGCACATGGGCTCAGGCACACACTGAAGCCAGGTCATGGAGAGCTTCTTGTCACCCAATAGCCCCAAATGTGTTTGGTCAGCCTGGCTGTCAGCTGCTCCTTTCCTGCGAGGTCCTGCATAGTGAAGAGACAGTATCTTATTTGCAGACAAATTCTTTAATCCCTTGGAGAACCACTGTATCTGTACCGAGATACACAATCAGTCCTTCTTTGGAAAAACTGGTAAGTAATTGTGTAATTATTTCTATGGTGACAAAGACTTAGAACGTAACTTCAAGACATTTAGAATAATAATAATGTGCCTAAGCAAGTGCATATTCTAAAATGTGCTGCTTAGAATAGGTCTTGGTTATCTTGTCTTGGCAAGGTCTTAGACATCTTGTGCAGTCTACCTACCATAAACCTCCTCACAGCAGGCAGCTGCTCAGCCTGGAAATTAATTTTGAGAAACACAACTGACCACTGAGCAATTTTAGCAGTAGTTTTTGCTGAACCTTTTGTGGTAAACAATGTTGTTAGCTGAGCACAGAGTGATCAGACTTCAAAATCAAGGCATGTATGCTGCCTGTGGTATGCTAGAGCATCCCTTGCTGTGAGGCACACTGACCCCTGCATTCTCATACCAAATGCAGCACCTGGAAGAGCAAACGAGGCAGGATTTACATATGAAACCCACTTATCATTCATCTGTTTGTCTTAACTGTTCCTGAAAAATAACTCCTGAAAATTTTCCAGTAAATTGGTTAAAAAATGGGCTTAAGGGCCTTCTGTCAAATTCTATTACTAGTTTGTAAGCTGTACAGACACTCTATTGCTAATGTGGGCCTGTATGTAAGACTTCCTTGGGAAATGCAGATGACTGAATTCAAATAATTGCAAGACAAGAGCAAAGATACAGATATATATTCAGGGAAAAATGCATCAGATTATTCTTAAAAGAATAGGAAAGAATGGGGTAATCTTGCCTTCTCAGAGTACTGCACTCAATCCTATATGAACTGACTTCTCTCATGCATCTTCAGAGAAAAGACAGTATCATCAAGAAACATTCTAATAGCTTCAGAAGATTTAGATAGTGAATTGTTTAAATCATATTGACTATTTCTATGCAATTTGCTTTGGCTTGGTCATTTTCAGCTCAAATCTTGAGACAGTTGGCTTCTAGTGTACACTTAGACAACGAATATATAACATGTTTTAAACTCTAATATGCTTTTCATTATGTAAGACATTTTCTGTGTTTCAGATAGCTTGGACAATGTCACTAAATTTGTCACATTCCCCTTCTGCTTCTCATAAACTAGCACAATACTGTTGAGTTAGGCTTCATATTCACGCAGAGAAATATCCAAATCCATCCAAAAGACTGTTTACATTGACATCAGAAAGGATGGAAAACAAATCACAACATCTGTATTTGTGTTAGGAGCCAGATACTGCCAGAACCATGGAAATCAGTGGCAACACTCTGATTGGATGCTAGCATTTATAAATCCATTTTTTACTTTTAAGCAGACCTAATTTGGGAACCTTGAAACAGTTTATTAGTCCCCTATTGTTTTGACTTCCATCTGTCCAAGTACTTCTTGAATGAGAAGGAGACTGTTGGGTAATAGCTGTTGAAGATATATGTATGTGTGGTAGATTCACTATAAAAGGTTAAGAGAAAGATTTTCTTCACAGTTTCCCTCATGTCCTTCCAGAAATTTGGAGTTTGTTATTTCCTCACTCCTTAGCAGCAATGCTTGGTCCATCCTCGTTTCAAGGGGAAACTCACTTGTGAATAGACAACATCATCAGACCTGCTGCATCTGAATTTAAAATTTACTGTTTCCCTAGACATGACAAGCACCTACGGAGGTGAAAGGGGATTCATAAAAGACAGTGAAAAAAGTCTCAGTGGAAAAAAAGGTGCATTTCTTAACATCAATTATATTAATTTTTAAGGAATCAGGATGCAGGAAGAAAAAGAAATATAACCTAAAATATACTCTTTTTATTATTGTGTATTTCTTTGCTAGTTGTCATTTCCATTAACATGAAAGTTACCTTTAATACTGACAGATTTTTTTTAAAAAAGGACTATGTCTGTCAGGATGGAATACGCGCAAACAGCAGTATCAAATCCAGAACGACTCTCACGAGCCGCCACTGACTGATAATGGAAAGTGGAGTATTTGGGAAGTCACATCAAGTGCCTTCTCCTGCTTCCACTTAAGGCACTGACAAACCAGAGCCAAACTCTTTAAAGATCAGTAGTCTCACCAAAGAGAGACGAGGAAGCAAGCAACCATGTGGCAATGAAATGGCTCCCTGATTCCTCTGTATTCTGGGCAACTGAGGTATCCTTTTCTAGTGAAACGTTTTTATCCCCACATTCATGTATGACATTTTTTCCATTCTAAGGTGGGACACTTCAGGCTCACAAGAAATTTCAATACACTGAACACAGAATGCCTAAAATCTGCGGTATGACCCAGAGTCTTGTCAAGAATTGATAACATAACTGTTCAGAACCATTAATAAAAGTCTCACTAGTCTGGCATGAGCTCGTTGAACTCAAGATGCTGGAAAAGACTCAATATTTGGGCTAACTAAAAATGGCATTAGAAGGACCATCTATGCAGGGAAATTGGTCTCTTTCAGAAAAGGTTCACGATAGGACAGATGTGTCAGTCTCAGGATTGCTACAAGGGCTTTGTACTGGGCAAAGAGAGTAATAAGAAACTAAAAAACTTTTGGCATTTCAACTTTATTGAAAAAGGGTACAAAGGAACCACCTCTGGATATTGTAAAACTCACAAATAAATTCTTTACAGCTGCACAAGGAAAGATAACAGTGAGAGCCCGATATTTCATTCCTAGCACAGTAAAAAATCCTATTACAGCCAATGCAGTTATGGGTGCACCAGCTGTATTATGGGAATTCTATATAACTCCTGTCTGTTTCTGAACCAAACCCCCTGAGGTCAGCCTGCAAGATTAAAAAGTCCTCCTCTTTCATATACATGCCCTTCCCCATCCTTGTTCATTTACCAATGTGTGGAATTAAGTAAGTTGTCTTAATCGGACATGATGCCCTTCCAGGCCAGGGAGGAGCTTCTTAAGAACTGCCTTCCTATCCTGTACTCTTGTGTAATGGCAACAGTTATACAAAAAATGCATGTCTTCCTTCCTTGCTAAAATCTATACCTTGGGAGGCACTGGTGTGCACATATCTCATGCTGCTGAAAGAATGTTTTGGGTATTTGCAGGATTTTTTTAAGTGTGGAAGAGAATGAAGAGGGGAAAAAATAAAAGAAAAATAAAAAGAAATTGAAGAAATTAAAACATCTCTGCTTCTCAAGTCCACTTTTAAATCATCAGGGGAAAAAGGCCACCACAGGTCAGGTAAGCATCATGAATCTGGGCCATTTTTGATCTTGGGTACGAAAAACAATAAAAGACGTATCTTTTAAATAGCACAATTCCCCTTAAATTCAGATATCCCAGGAAACTACCATGCTAGCCAGACTACCAGCACTCAGTATATGGAGAATTTGAGAGAACAGATGGGAGAAGCCACTATTTCTAATACAGCCCTAGGGCATCTCTGTTCCCTTGTTCGGGACTTCATTTTGTAACCTCCCCTCTTCCAGCTGCTCAGACCATGACATGATGCTCCTCACAGACCCACAGTACCACCCTTCATTGGACAGAAAGACCACACAGGGAGAAAGCAAGTGGCTTCAACCATGAGAACCAGTCTGCCTGCATAAACAAATCTCTCACAGGCCAAAGCAAGACGTCAGAAAAGCTTGTTCAGTTCAGCTCCCACCAGACTTAGACACGGGAAGTGTAGCTCAACCAGCTCAACCAGCAGAGAAGTCATCAGCAAAGGTTTTTACTCATTTATATCCAGAAATGGAGAAGTGGGAAACCTTTTGGAGCGCTTAGTTCAGTCCAGTCCCGTGACTTCTGTAGTCTCCAAACAGAATCTCACATTCCTTTAAGTGTGGAGTTCCTTTGGAGTAGAAAGCCTGAAGAGGGTTAATTTTATGTTTGCCTTACACCTAGCAGTCCCTGGAGACTCTGCACTGGGGTTGTCCTTTCTCATTCATCACAGTGGATTTCCAGCAGTTGGTTTAAATAAGAAAGAACATGTCCTTAATCTAAAAAATTGGCATGTGCTAAACTTCAGGAATTAACTTCAACTTCTTGCTCAACTTGTTTGAAAGGGCCAAAATGGATCTAGGAGTGAACAGCAGTGGAAGGTGTGTTATCCAGAAACCTTCCTAGACAATACCATTAAACGATGGCATCTTTAAAGACATGCTGGGCAGACAGCACAGGTGTCCACATGTCTACATACGTCTGCACCATACTACAGACACTTGTTTACTTCTACTAGAGTTCAATCTTTGTGTCTATTCATTTTCAATGAAGGTTTAATATTTTCCTTCTTTTAGAAGCCAGAACTGATTATTTCCATACTTTACCCTGGCATGGCGATGGCAGAGTATTCCATAAATATTTCAGAAGGAAAGCCTGCAGATTCATGTAAAGTTAGTTTCTTAGTTGAATAATAATTGTGGATATGTCAATGAACTGGATTTTTCTTTCTTGAATAGTCGTAACTTTGTGTCATATGACACTCACTAAAGTCAATAAATGGGATTTTGAAAAACTGGGCTCTACTCTTGCTTTGTAGTTCATTTTGGACTTCCACAAAGGCGATTTCAGGATAGGCACCTTAGAGAAGAAAATGATGAATCAGAAGTGTAGAGAAGAAAAGGGAAAGAAGGGAGAAGGAGAGTTTGTTCTTTCCATCAATATTAAATTGTCCATTTCCCAGCTGCAGGCTCATGAAAAGGAGACTTCTTGGTGATTACCTAGTAATTGAAACCTTACAAACTCACCCCAGAACACTCAAAGACAAGGTAAAAAAGGATTATTTTTTTTTATTGCAGATTCATGAAATTTGATCCACAGCAGAGCTTGGAGAATTCACTAAGCTTTTGAATGCATATGCAGACTGGTATCAATTTCTTTTTTTATTTCTTCCTTACCAGATGAACAATATACATGAACAATATCATGTGTGTGTGTGTGTAAACATGAGTAGCTTTTATAAATGCAAATGCCAAAGAATACAAGTAAAATAGTCTGGTTTCTATGAAGGGCTCTGTCTCACAAAACAATCTGCTGCACAAACCCAAACCAAATCTCTAAAACACTATTCACGTGTTAACATTACAGAGAATGCTTGCGTTTTAACTTTTTACCTATTCATAATAGAAACCAAGAGGTATTGAACCAAAGATGAATCTAAGTAGCAAGTTATCTTCACAATCCCCCACCACTATTACCACAGAAGATATTTAGAGTTAAAGGGCTTCCCTCCCAAACAAGTGCACACTCAGTGCTGCCTATACCCCTGCTTTACCTATAAAGAACCCAGAATTAAAAAGTTGTAATTGGGTCCCTCTGGTGTAATAATGCCTGTAACAGTTGTAACAGGGACTGAATTTGGTGTAGTTCTTAGTATTTCCCAGTTACTGATGAAAATCCAAAGGATACTGACAAACTTATTGCCGCAGTATGTATCGCTTGAAACCCAGAAAGTTCCATCTACTCTTGGTTCAGTGAAAGCCTCTGTGAGAAATAAGCAGCATTATCTTACTTTTCATGGCTCCATACACTATGAAGCACTTGAAATCAATTTTCCTTGTTATTATGCTGGAATTTTGGAATGGTCCTGTGAGTTATATTCCTGTAAAGTTTTTTTTTCCTTTATGAACCTGTGATCTCTTGGACGTTTAAGAGAAACACAACATACATAAGTAGAAATTAATGAATGAGTATTAGCAAGTGTGGTTTCCTTTCTTACTTTCAACACTGCTATTGGCCAGCTGCTAATCAGTCAGATCCCGCATAACTTTGATTTGGTATGTGTTTTTAATCATCACCACCCTCTCTTTGGGTTCCAGGGCCAAAATGGTGAAATTCTAACAGTTTTCAATATATCTATTTCTAACTGAACATGAAAACATCAGATAGTTCATAAAAACTAGAAGAAGATCAATTATTGGTGTTGAAAGCAAATGAAATAACACTTAGCTATCAGTTCACTGGAATGTTTTATACTTCTTGAAAACAAGAGCAAGCCCGCAGACAATTGTTTTATTTTCTACAATTCTTGAGATCCAGAGAAAGTAGCTCCTTTGAATATTAAGCCCACAGCACAGGCTGAAATGATCTCCACCTCCCCTCAGTCACACACATCAAAGGGAGCAGAAAAGTTCCACAAAACTGCTGTACATCTGAATGTGTTGATAGAGCCTGACTGATATGGTACACCACTGGAATGATACTTAATTCACCAATATGTGCTCAGCAAACATTTGGAGCAAGAGAACCATTTTTTCTCACCTTTTGTGTTAAGTATGAACTTCTAATGTAAAGACCTACCCAGAGAATAGAACATCAGATGTGTTTGTTTTATGAAACTGTGTAAAGGTTTTCCAGAGCTGTCACAGCATGATAGCTTTGGCCATTTATTTTCCCAGATCTTTACCTTGAGTGCTACTGCTTGCTTTGGGAAACTTTTTTTTTTTCCTTTTCCTGAACAGCATTTAATAAAAGTCCTGTGAGTAGTTCTGAAGAGGTTATTTACCCTAATCACGGTTAACTCCTGGCTGAAGCAGAAGTGTTTCTGCTGCTCTGCCTGTGCAACCCAAGCCTTGCAAGTCCAGGCCTACAGTCCACATAGGCAACCTTATCAGTACAGCCTCACAAAATTGCTTTTTTTACTAATCCTAAACCCAAAAGAAACAAATGTGTTAAATAAGCCTGTTGAAGTCAACAGCATTCTGCATATGTCAAACCAACTCAGGAATTATCAGCAACTCCATACTGGGTTCATCCTTTTTCTGTAACATACTGCTGAGTGTGGTGACCCTGAAAATAAAAGCAATTTTGATTCTGCTAATGTGATTTTTGTGGGCTGGTTTTAGTTGTTTTTTTTTTTGGGGGGGTGGGTGTTTTGTTTTAGGTTTTTTTTTTTTCAGTTTTAGCATAGCATTAAATGCTGAAAGTGCCAAGGCAAATCAATCTGCCCGTGTGGAGTTTTGTGTAGGATCGGGGTCTAATTTGGCCTCGCATACACCTGTATCTCCAGCTTTCAAGCTGTTTTTCTTCCGAGTTATTGGCACACACAGCAAAAAGAATCACATTCCTGATGTGACACATCACTGAACCAGCAATGGTGACTTTCAGCTATCCTTCAAATGGTTAGTAATTGAGGCTTTTTAATTTTTTTTCCCACAGGCTGGGTTGTCTAGTAACATATAGTTTCAGTCAGTTTAAAATGACCAGTTTTAGCCATGCCAACCAAAGAAATGAGGGCAATCCCACATGCTGAGAGTGTTTATGTGTATGTCAGTCATAATTTTAACCCATTACCCAATTATCAAGCAAATTTGACAAAAGGAAGAGTAGCAATTCCAGTTCTGTAAGTGAAAATACATGGCTGGGGAGAACAGGGAGACTGTATCTGAGCTGTTCTACATGAAAGGCAACATGCGTTCACCCTTTAGCCAGCACGTGAGTTTCTGTGTGTGAGAGCTAGCAAGCAAGATGTTGTGAAAGCCTGTTTGGTGGAAACAAGATTGAAAAGATCTGAAACCACATAAGACACCAGAGAATAAAATAGTTAAATGCGGAGAAAAACAGTACTTATAAACATGTTTTTTTCCATTATATGAACTAAGACTGTGTGTCACTGTGTGCCCTTTACAGATGATTTCTGACATTCTGAATTGCATGTGAACACAAGCTGGATGCCAGAGTACTTAAAAGTGGGAGCAAACATATTGCCAATGAGAGCAATAAGCTCAGTGAAGATTTAGTCTTACCAAGTATTATTTCTAAACTGAGTATCTTCCGCTTCTCCCTGTTTCCTTCGTGGATGAAATAAATGGGTGACAAGAGGCTGCAAAGCATCCTTGCTTCCTCTCCACAGACAGAAGGAAACTGTGGTTCTCACTGGAAAAAAAGGAAAGTGCAAGTGGGAACTAGGGCTGTAACATAGGTTTCATGGGAGAATGGCAGTGAGAAAGCAAGGACAGACTCTGCTACTGCAGGAACTGCAGCAGATTCCAGATTCTTCCAGGTGGCTTCAGAGAACAGCAGTTCCTCTTCCCTATCCTGAAGCTCCCTGCTGCAAGGTCTCCCCAGCTCCCTTCAGTGAGCTGCTTTGCATCTCACAGGACAAGTGTCCTTTAGCAAATGCAGGCAACCAAACACTGCAGAGCAGGGCTGGCTCTCTGTGGTGTCAGAGCCTCCTTCCAGGAAAACTGCAGAAACAAAGCACCACAGAGGGAAAGAGAGAGCCCTTGCTGGCAGGAGACCTGGGTGACAAACAGGTTATTAATAATCCTTTTTTTGAGCCTCAGAACCATAGCATTCATAGGATATCTCAAATCAGAAGGGACCTATAAGGATCCTCCCTCCCTGCCATTGAGCTGTAATTACTTTCATTTTCTCCCAACTGGAAAAGAAAGTATAAATGAAGCTTTTGTTTTGCACTTGTGACCCATGTAGATTCTCCAATAACAATTTAGGACTCACTGCACTCATCTGAGCAATTCTTACTTACTGGTATGGCATAAGAGTGACTAAGTCTGTAGAATGAAGTGCATAGCTGGAAACTCCACATTTAACATCCTACAGAAGCAAGGACTCTTCAGAAAGGCTTCAAAGCTGCCTTGGTCACGTGTCTGTTGAAAAAGACCAAACAAAAGCATCTCTTTCCCATGATATCGTGTTAAAAAAAAAAAAAATAATCCTTACAGCTACACAACGATAACTATATATAACTAGAATTAAATTAGGGAGTATCATTTAACCGACTTAATTTCCTGAATAGCCCTTTGTTAAGAGCTGTGAGGACCAGGCAGTTAAGCCTAATTGATGATTTTGAAAATCAACAGGACGGGCAGAACTATATAGTAATTGCATGCATTACTACAAGGAAAGTCATGATTCTGTAATATAAGTTAAATTGCTTAAGTAAGTCTTACACAGCTACACAAGTAATGTTTCACTGCAGATATTCCTGAATGTTAATCCATAACGTAACTAGCTGCAGTTAAGAGGGAGGGGAAAAAAAGAAAACCCCACCCAGTTTGTAGCTATCCTGTATCTCAGACAGGGTGATATAACATATGTTTTAAAACGATAAAGACTTCCAAAAATAAGACAGAGTTTCCAGAAAAATATTCATGCACGCCCAAACAAAAGCAAAACCCGGTAATAATTGAGTATTTGCAGCTTTTTGTATCCAAGAAGTTAAAAGAAAAAAAACAAAACAACAAACCAGCCCAAACCAGCCCCTTTCAGTGGCTTAGCCGGTCAACACTATTATACACAAAGCCCAGTGCTCTTCCCTAAAACCTAAGAATTAATGAGCATTATGTAAGAGATTTTTATAACACTCTAAAAATACATTGTGAATTCCTTTCCAGTGTCAGACTGAGAAGCTTTAAACTACTGCCACCCCTCATCCCCTTTTTGAACAAAGACTGGATCTTCATTTCTGATATTAGAAACTTAAATTTGCCTCAGTATTTAGGCCTCAAATCTCACTAATTACAGTATTGGCCTCTTGAGATACAACTGGTGCTGCTACCAGCAGTGTTTGTGCTCAAAATGACTGGCACAAGGGCAAAGATACATAGACATTCATACACGTATGAACGCTTGAAGAAAGAATTAAGGACACATAAAACTTCGTATATGGATGATTTCATGATGATTAACCTGCTTACAAAGCAAACTTTTGTACCCATGTGATAATGTTTTGTTTGTGTGGTGCTGACAGATAATACACCAAGATAGCATTCCTGCAAAGGCAGCTGTAATATTAGCCTGGCAGATCTACAGCAGGGTCCTATAAGCACCTTATTCCTTTTGTGCTCTATTTTTCATATGCATAATAAATAAGTACCAGCATTTTCCACCAAAGGATCTCTACGCAAAATTACAAAATCATCACCTGAATGTTAATGGTAGCTCAGGAACTGTACCCATAAAGAGAACAGGTTTTAACACTGTTATTGGGAACAGAACCATCCTGCCCATGCCTGAGTGCCCATACCTACTCTACAAAAGTTCATTCCACTCTGCCCCAAATCACCATTCGATCTATGAACGTGCAAGGCACCTGCAGTCCTTCAGACCAAAATAAGTCACAAGAATGCAAATAAATCACATGAAAAATGGGAACAAAGGATTTTCACCTATGGAAGACTTGCCATGGAATGCATATCCAGAGAACATCACAGCAATCCCATCAGCACATTTTTAGGGAACACCTCAACAGTGTCCTTCCTCAGAACAGAACTTTTCCCCATACAAGGCCAACACAATACTGATGGGCCATCTTCCCAAAATAATCCCCCACTCTTCAAACCACAAAACAAATCGACCAAAACTATTGTGGTAAGCAGAAGGGGGGGGGGGAAGACAGAAGATGCAAAGAAGACTGCCTTGCCCAGGAGCGATTTCTTCATTGTTACCATTTTCATGTAAAAGCCCTGCTGATACCATGGCTGATGCGTGGGAGAATGGAACAGGGAGTTGTTAAGGTCTCTGATGGGATGATAACTGCTCTTCCAAGCAAATAGTTAGATGAAAACTGTATTCTGGATTACGATGATCCTGTGCCAAAGTGTCAACTACCTTTGTGTGTTTGCCAAGGATATCCACGGTTCACTCTTCCCTCAGCAACTTTTTTTCCTTTCTTTCTATATTTTACCTACAATCCAAGTCCTTCTTTGTTCTCTGCCCTGATTCTTTCTCTGTGTTTCTTTCTCTGTACCATCTTCTGCCCCCCCTATTCACACCGAATACAATCAGTCATACAGCTAGCCTCCACCTGAACTCTGTGGCACAAGACATGTAAGCCCCAGGAATGAGGGCAAAATGCCTCCTTTTGGTTCATGCCTCATTAACGTGCCCTTCTCAGACTCCCTCTCTTGTCTTTTCCCCCCTTTCATCACTCAAATTTACCGTGCATTGTTCCTGTACTTTGTTTCCTTTTTTTGTTCGCACCTACAGTGGTTTTCACCTCCTCTGTTAACCTCTACCCTTCCATTCCATCCTTCTGCCATTTTCCACATATGTCCTTCTCCCACCACGAGCCACCTTGCTCGTCATTCTTCCCCTGACATAGCCTGGAAGCAGGAGCCTCGGCCACCACGGGGTGACTAGAAAGGCAGACCACTCCAACCATGCTCTCCCACTCACCTGTTAATACAACAATAAAAATACAGTGGGGCAAAAGCCTAGGACAAACAACCAACTTTGGCACAAAATGGCTTTTGTTGTGATATGCTTTCATGTGGTTTACTTCTGCACACATCCCGAACCAGCTACAAGCACCTCAGACCCTTCAGCTGCTCACTCCTTCCTGTTGTCTCTGCTGCTCCATCCCTAATTTGTCCCAGTTGCTCATTTAATACCCTTTAAATCCTCCCACAACAATTCCACCTCACCAACCATTCCCTTCACTCTAGCAGCTCAAAATCCAGAGAATATATGGGTTCCCCCCCCGCCCCTGCAGCTCCAACAATGATAAACAGATGCTGGTGGTCTATGCATTGTACAGCTCCCCTCCTTAGAATTGTGCGTGACCTTTTCCTGGCAGCACAGTGGGGAGATGGGGTGTATTTACAACCTGGCTTGACCTAAAGAAGTGCTCAGAGATCTTGCCATTAAACACTCAAAGCGCCCTCGGGTTACACACGTGAGTAGGTTTACAAGATTAAGTCATGGGTTTGTAAAGAGAGGCAGGTATCAACATCTGCAGAATTTGGGATCATACTTCGGGAAGTCAAACGCAGGGACAAGGCAACTCTAATAAAAACGATGGCTATGCATGGTCCCTGTGCTGCTCTCTTCCCATCATCCCTGTGGAACACAGGATTATTCGCAATGTACCCTTAAAACAACAATAATAATAAAAATTAAAGCATTTCCTTGAATTTTCTTTAGAGAAATTCTTTTGTCGTTTAACCGTGTCTAAAACCCGCAGTTTCGGCTGAGGAAACGTTTCCCCCAGCCTCTCAGGGCCGCAGGCCACAGGAGGCCTAGGCTCAGCCCGCCTGTGGCACACGTTCTGGCGGGGAGCAGCCCTCTGGCCCCGGGGGGAGCTCTACCGGCCCTGGCCTTCCCCTGCCCCACCGGGAAGGGCTTGATCCCAGGCTCTGAGGGAAAGGGGGACGCCGGGTCCCCGCTGAGCGGCCGACGGGCGCCAGCAGCTGAGGAGGGGTCCGCAGGAGCGGGGGAGTTACTGGCGCTGAGGGGGCTGTGGGGCTGGCGTTGCGCGCGCTGCGAGAAGGTGAGAGCGGGCCGCGGGTGCCGCTGGAATCCGGTCCGCAGTTTCGCGCTCGCCGACGCGCTCTCCCTCAGCCGGCAGCGGCGGCGGGCGGAGTGCCGCTTGCCGGGAACAGCCGGTTGTTTAAAACCCTTCTAGAACCGTTTCTAATTCCCCCTTGCGCGGGGAAGGGAGAGCGCTTGGGGGGGGGAGAGGAGGAGCCGAGTGTGGGGGGGGGTGGGGGTGGTAAGGAGCGAGCCGCCCGTCCGGGTCCCGGCTGTCAATCACCGCGAGGGGGGCGTGCCCGGCCGACCGGCTGGCCAATGGGGTGTGTGTGTGGCGGCGTCTCCATAGTGACGGGGCTGGTCCCGGGAGGCTGTGATGGGTTGACAGGTGCGTGACAGTCGGAGCTCTCCGCAGGCATGTACGGCAAAGGCAAGAGCAACAGCAGCGTCCCGTCCGACAGCCAGGCCCGGGAGAAGTGAGTACCGCCCCAAGGGACGCAGCGAATAACTTTCCCGCCGCCGGTCCGTGCGGAGCGGGAGGACGCAGCGGACGGACCCCCTCCCCCCCCCCCCCCCCCCCCGTCCTTCCGCCGCTGGTCCCCGTGTGTCCCTGCTCCGCACGGTCCCCTCCCCGGCGCAACGTATGTGACAAAGAGCCGGGGACGGGGGTACGGGGAGTGGTGAGGGACGGGGATGTCGTTCCGCAGCTTACCAACTCCGCCGCCCCGCAACTTTTCCGCGCAGCCCCGCGGCGCATTGTTCTGCGGGGGCACGGCAGCAGCGGGGCACACACAGACACGGGGACACGCCGCGCTCCGGCGCCCGCCCCGCCGAACAAAGGTGCTGGGCATCCCCCGGTGTGGTGCTGGGGTCGGGTTTTGAAGTGCCGGTGGGCGGCGGGGCTACACTCACAGCCCTCTCCACCCCTCCTGACCCCGGCTGATACCGAAGCAGCCGCGAAAGTACTTTATTATTTTATTTAATGTTGTAATGCATTCTCGGTGGGTAAAATCCCCCGTGCGAGTAGCGCGAGGGCTCCGTCGGATTTCTCCTCCGTGGGAGCTGCCCCACGGGGTGCCGGGGGTGCCCTGCGTGTGAGGGGGGCGTGAAATAATTGGGCAGGAAAGCGAGTTTTTTAGGAGCGGACGGAGGTCTCGTCAAGTTGTGCTGTAGCGGCGGCTTCTCGGCGTTGCTGCAGCCGGGGAGGAGGGGAGGACGTGTACCGAGCGGGGTTCAGCCGAGGGAAGGTCGGAGTGAGGCTGCGGAGGGTCCGGAGCTGGAGGGCGCCGGCCACATGCGCTTGCCGGGGCGCACACCGCATCGCTCCGGAGCGGCTGTAACCTCCGGGCGCTGTGCTCCGGAGGAGTTCCCCCATCGGCAGTTTGTCTTGAACCTTCACCTAGAAGAGAAGGTTTTGTTTGTTTGTTTTTCCTTTTTTCTGTCCTATTTATATATTAATTAATTAATTTATTTATTTATTTATTTATTTTCCTCTGCAGTATTTTAGACACTTCTTAATTCTAGAGACTGGCATGCATGCTTCCTGGAACAGGAGCAGGCTAGGCATCTCTGTTGCTACAGGAGAGGGGAATGCTGGAGGAGATTTTAAAGTGATGTTACGTTAGGGAATTCCACGCCTAACTTTGCCACGGAAAGGTGGAGGAAATCAGGCAGTGCCGACATGCAGTGTTAATGGCTAGGGTGGAGTGGGAGACACAACTTGGGCACTGAAACGTAATCAACTAGTGGCACTTATTACTCCCCGTGGGCGAATAATTCTAGAAATCATTGCTGAAGTGGCTAGTGGGAGCGTTGTTTATCTTGTTTGGCGAAATTACGGATTGAAGCCATTTTCTTGTGCTGCATATTTGCTGCATAGTTGCATGTGTTTTTCAGTACACTTGATAAGATCCTGAAGGGCAGAATGGGATCGCACTGTGGGACTAGATGAAAGGAATCCATAAGGCTGCTATGTGTTGGATCAGGTGAAGACCACGTTATTTTGATTTTGCTTGGCAGAAACTTCCCAGCGCGGGCCACACACACTGTGCCGTGGTCCTAGAGCTGAAACTTTAAACTGGCTTTAGTCTTACTTCGTTGTAGCTGGTTTTTCTTTTGGGTCCTTGGTGCCATAAGGCACGTCGTACTTCATGTGGAATGAAAATACTTAATGATTTTCAGGGCAAGCCTGCCAAACTGACCTACTGCCAAGCAGCAGCTGCCCTCCTGATTAAAGTTACGGGGGCCAGCTAGATGGTGCTGTTCGATTTAAATACACATTGTCTCCCACTCCTTGCAACTAACAGCTGGAAATGTGAATTCCTCGAGTATAGGTTATTCTATGCAAAACACTAGTTTGTTCTTAAATCACGGACTTGGCACATCTTGTAGCATCTACTGATGGATAAACATAACCAGGAATTTAGAAACACCCTCTTCCTCTCTCATCTCCCCCCTCCCCAGCCGTCCTTTCCCTTAATGAAAAATAGAAAAGCCTAAAGACTTGGTTTATGTTGTGAAATGCCATTATAAACTACATTCCAGATTCTTTTTTTTTATTCCATCTTTTAAAGTTTCGTTGTAAATGGGATCACATCATTGCCATTTTCCTACGCTTTCCTTCTGACATCCAAAAAGCTGTGATTACATTTTCCTTTCTCTTTCCTATGACATTGTTTTACAACTGTGCAATGCTTCTCCCAAGGTGATGCACAAGTTCTTGTTCTGCTGAGAAAAGTTGACATTGAATTAAATATGTTCAGAGAAACACAGCTCTAACTTCTGCGTGAGGTGGTATTAAATTGAAAACTGGGGGGAAAATATATATGTTTGATTGATACTTTAAGTACTTAATGAAGGAGAGTGGAGTTATAATTATACTTAATTTGGAAATTTTAAAGCAGAAGATGTAACTTAACTCCATCATGACTCATGGTTTTAAATATCTAAAATCTGTCACCAGCAACTGATATCTGAGATACATTTGTAATAATTAAGGAAATAAAATAACACCCCCCTACCTAATAATTAATGAAATAAAATAAAAATCGACTGCTGCGGGTTTGGACAGCCTGATTACATGGAACATTTTTCTTTCCCATGGGGATGTGTGCCAGTGACAAGACTAGGGTGTGAAAAGGGTGTTTATCAAGTGTGGAAAAGATGTGTGTTGTTCAGATGTTGTTTGTAATCAAGGATGTGATATATTTTACAGACTGATCCTGTGCCAGATACGTTTGCAGTGTGGTATCTTGCTGTATGCTGCCTTTAATATGTATGTCCTTTGAGGTGATGTAATTTCTATTAAAATTAAAAAGTTTTGCCAGTCATTTACAGTATCCCTTGGCGAATTTTCAGTTCCAAGGATGGCATTCATTTTATGGTCTTTGTCCTGCCTGCCTGACCTTTGGGGTAAATTATCTGTATTATGTAGCTTAACAACTCATGTGAAGTGTAGATAGATGAATTCAGGGAAAAAAAACAATACCTAATTTTATGCCAGAGAAGTACAGTACAGCACAGGTAAGTAAAATGCTAAAAATGAAGGCACACAGTACCTGTGAGCTCTGAAGAAGATTAAGAGAGAAAAACCTCTCGTGTCGTTGTGCCCCTTCCTCCTGTTCTGGAGGCTTAATTTTGGGTTCATGCTATCCCTGTCGCATAAAGGATAGGGAAAGGAAAGTTGTATTAAGCAGCAGCTTGTGCTGTGCCAGGTTCAAATAAGGCTCATCTACATTGTAGAAGGAAAAAGACTAAAATTTTTCTAAGCATCCTCTTTTTAATCTCTTCACAGCAGATATGTGTGTGTGTGTTTTTATTTTTTCCTTACTCCTTAAAATTGGATTAAGTCAGACTAGGAGTTCAGGCCTTTTGACATTTCATTGAATGGTGAAACTAAACTTTTAATCTGGGAGAAGTGAAGTCACACTGTACAAATTTTATGTAGTTTTTCAAAGAGGATTTCCATAGGCGTCAGGGTAGGTTAATGGTTGGACTTGATCTTAAATAGTCTTTTCCAACCTGAACAGTTCTGATTCTATTTGCAAACAGAACTCTATCTAGAAATATAAATAATGTTTTAGGTTAGAAAGGATGTGTATAAAAACAGTTAAAAAGAACATAAGGTAAACTAAATACTGAAGGGATGATATGTTTTGTGTTCAGTTGTCTTGATTTTTCAGTACTCTTCTAAAGTAGTCTTTTTTCCAAGATGCACTTACCTTGTTGGGGCTCAGACCCAGCCATGTGGGTTTTGGTCAAAAACTGAGTGACTAGAATCTGCATTTTTACTTTGGTATAACAGGATGCAAAACAATGTAAAAGCAAGAATTAGAGTTGGTTATTGATTGGTTTTCAGGTCAGTGTGGGAGAGAATGTGGAGAAAGTAACACTTGGTAGCTGCTGTTGTGTTATTCTTGCTCCATTTTTTTGCGTGGCTGTGGTTGTAAATGTCTCCTGAAGTTTGATGTTTGCCAGTTGGTTGGGCATTTTTCTTCTGCACTTTGCTGCTGCTTTGAAGAAGAAAGATGTCTCCTTTGTTGTTTCTTCTAAAGTCTGGTTTAGGTGATTGGCTGTTCAGATGCAGGGCTCCTTTATACAAGTGCCCTGAGTACCTGCCTTCATCAACTACTCTTCCCAAGCAGGAAAACAAAGTTAATTGACAAAACTTTTGCCATTTTCTTGTTGATGCCAGTATGCTTCTCTGTAAATAGAAAGAACCACTAATGCTTTCCTCATTTGATTCTACTGCTGTATAGGAAAACTGAGATTTCCGAGGGCTTTTGAGGATTTGTGGATTTCTAGAGATAGTATTTTTTTCCTTTTTTTCTTCCTTTTTTTTTTTTGTGGTTTTGTATGTGATAACGGTTTTTTTTCAGTTGCTTGGGGTTTTTTTTCCCTTCAGATTTGGAAAGATGGCATCATATGAATTAGGCTACCTATTTCTGCTGTAGTGCTTCTAAGCTTCATAAAAATAAGACACAGATTAGAATTAGTTGCTTTCAATGATAAATTCACTCCTCGTCCCTGGGAAATGGTGGGCTGGTTTTTCAAATTTCACGTAGTGAAGGATATATTGATCTCTCTCCCCCTCTCCCCTTTGAAAACAAAACTGGGGGCTTAATCTGGCTTGTTTTAGAAAATTTAGGTGTGACGTTTGTCCATGGATTTCACCCATCAGGTGAAACGTATAAAAGTTGCGGGTGAACTGCTCTGTGAGTGTGAACATGACACCTTTTTCGTTTTAGAAAAATATAAAGAATATAAAGCCCAGCTCTCAGCCTGTCTCCAGAGCAGAGCTGCTCCAGCCCTCACAGCATCTCCATGGCCTCCTCTGGACTTGCTCCAACAGCTCCAGGTCCCTCTTGTGTTGTTGCCCCAGAGATAGATCAGGACTGCAGGGGGGGGTTTCCCCAGAGTGCAGCAGAGGGGGAGAATCCCCTCATGCTCTGGGGATGCAGCCCAGCACACAAGGGGT